ATCTTGTTGTATTTTCTCAAAATCTGGTAAACTATTTGTAGAGCGAAGCTCATTTTCTTTGAAAATAATCAAATTTGGAATTTCTAGATATGACGGTTTCTATGTAATTGATATACAATTTTTTACTACACAAACTCTATTTTTCTCAAATTTCAGCTCATCTATTTCTATTTCCGTTTTAAGTTCTACTTTTTCAGCTATAATAAAGCCATCTGTATGTATACGTTTTACTTGATCTCCTAGTGGCTTCACAATTTCTGATATTCTTTTTCGTGCAGATGCTAATAAGAATAGTTTTATTCGTGGATGTAAACCATAATTTTGTCCATTTCTTTGCTTATATAATGCACCCCATAATGAAACTAATAATGCTTTACTAACTTTTCCTTCTATTCCACCTTCTTTTTTAATTTTATATAATATATTACCCATTCACCAAACATGTCTTTTCCTGTTATATATACATTTCTTTTATAAATAAGTACATTTGGTGATATATTTATTAATGTTACTTTTAATCCATTTTTTTGCGCACATTTTAAATTATAATATGTGTAAATTCCATGTGGATTATAATGTAAATATCTTATATATTGAAGACTTTTCTTTGGAGGATTTTCTTCTATTGTTGCTTTATAAATTTCATATGGAAATTTACTCCATTTTTCTGTAAAAGATGAGTTTATAGTATGAAACTTACCTGGTGCAATTGGCTATAATGCATCTTTTTTTATCATTTCAAATATATACATTGAATTTACATTATATTGATTAGCTTCTCCTTCATATCTTTCTGCAAATATTAGAGCACCAGTTGTTGCTAAATCTATCCATACACTTTCTTCACTTATTTTTTCACTTTTTTTGGGGTGCTAAAGTGGTTTCTTTGAAAAATTTTATAGTTGTTAATGTATAATTTTCAGATTTACGCATATTAATTCTACTATTAGTTTTTTTTAGCAATAGCTTCAGACTCATCATTAATTCTTTTGTATGCTTTCATAATTGTTTCTCCATTATTTGCTTTAATAAAATGATATTTGTTATGTAATGTGCAAAAATCTTCTTTAACTCCATACCATTTTCTTTTCCCATCATAAAACTCAAATCCATT